TTGCGTATATGGACACAGTTTGTGCAACAGTACAGGCAGAATTGATATGTATTAGTGAGAGCTATTCAAAGGCGGATCCAGCGCCGGTGCCGGGCGTGCGCCCCCCCCCCCCCCCCCGTTTGAATTTTTTTAGAATTTTGTTTGTATTATCCTAAAATCAAGGGGAAAACACCTCTTATTTATTAGAATTCGTCAGTTTCCGGGGACCCCCACCTGGAACCGCTGGGGGCTTCGATGCAGCCCCCCCCCCCCGCCTTCTACTGCGCCCCCCCCCCCGTTATGAAATTCCTGGATCCGCCATTTCTATTCAACAAAAACTTTTGACCTTGAACTTTCCTGTGACCTTTACCTCACTTTTCTTACATCTGCATTTTGCTTTTTTAAAGAAACCATTTTTTATGCTAGCTTATGCACTTATACATAATTTGATGAGAATTTATCATCTATATCCAATTTTTTAGATTTCAATTTCATTTCTAAAGCTATATATATATGGCGTATCTGAGCTAAAAAATAAAAATACGAGACTGATCGAGTGTATATAAACATGTTTATGTTATTTACGTTCAAATTAAAAATTTCACCGATTTTGAACTCATATGTTTCCATAGTTAAATTGATTTTAAACTGTCTTTTAATTAAATGAGGAGTCGGTAAATAAATCGGTTATTGTTTTAAATTTCTAATATCTTTTAAATGTGATTGGTTTATATTGTGTAATTTACAGGAAAGTCCTATCTTTATATAAAGTAATAAAACAAATAGAAAGATCTTTTTTAATTTAAGTTTGTCTGAACTTATTAAAAATACGCCATATATGACTTTAAAGAAACTTCAACTATTCTCATTTAACTTCATACACTAATACAAATTTACATGTTGCATAACTAATATACCCTTGTTGGGGTATCATGTCCTATGGACATATTTCTAGTTTCATACTACATGTATAACACAATTTTTTCGATATTATTAATTGGATCTTTGCTCCATTCAGTTTTTAAAAAGTTTATCCTCAAAGTTTCCATAAAAATATACAATTTTTGGTTTACAAAAACATGGAGCAAAGACCCACTAAGTCTTAAAAATACACGACACAACACAGGGGCGGATCTAGCAATTTTTGAAAGGGGAGGTGCAGGTCGGTGCCCCCAACATTCATGCATAGAATTACGCCACAGGCACTTCAAGTCCGTAGCAATGGTTTATCAAAAGGGCCAACCTCCGAACAGAGTTGACAAGTTAAAAAAAAAAAAAGCAACTGTGCGCCACATTCTTACATCCTATTTCGGGGTAAAGGGGGGGGGATCCTCTTACTTTTCGGCACTTTTTTTGGTTTCAAATGCTTGAATTGCGTATTTTGAACTTCCAGCAACAAAATGGGGGAGCATACAAATCAAAACTTGCATATTAAAACTACAGCAAAAGATTATTCTCAGAAAAAGTGAACCCACTTCCCCCGTATACCACTGGAGCATTTTACACCTTTCTCTTTATAGATTAAAATATCACCATAATAGTCTCTTATGTATGCTCCCTTTCATGACTTTTTATTCATACTGTTTAAAGTTAGTTACTTCAGAAGATGGTCAGTGGCATAGCTGAAGGTCGCTGGAATCTTCCAATGATATCAAAGTGAAATCTTGCATGTTACTTGTGGGTGGTCGGGGCCAAGGTTCTGAAGGTACTTGGAGGATGGAATACGGGACACTCTATCTAGCGAGCAGAAAGGGCAGAGATTGAACTACTTATTTTATTCAAAATATTAGACGTTAAATTAACTATATTACACTGAGAAATCTCTCTCTCTTTCTCTCTCTCTGCAAAAATAAAGGGGGGTTCCAACCCCCGCAACCCCCCCCTCTGGATCCGCCAATGCAACATCCGCATCTTTCCAAGAAATAATTAAAGTCCATTTAGTTAAGGGACATATATCACAAACCTGATTTAAATGCCATTATTCATCAGCCAGAGTTGTGTAGCGTAGTGGTTAGGCGAGTTAATTTCAAAAGAAAATGATACTCTAGATTTTTATCGCTAGGGTTCGAACCCCATGAAAACCACATTATTTTCTAATTGAAGTGGGTCGGTACGTGATCAAATCTTCTGAGAAGGCCTTCGGCCTTCACAGGATTTGATCACGTGACCGACCCACTTCAATTCCCATTGAAGTTTTTAAACTTGTTATTTATTTCTTAATAACAGAATAATTTTTGCCGGGAAAATTTTCCTCGGCAAAGTTTTTTTTATCATAATTTCATGAAAACTTCTTTAAATACTATAAATATATACGCTTTTTATATATCTTGTTAAAGAAAATATATATCTACCACATGTAGTAGTCTAGATATATACACATGATACAAATATTTATTAAACAATATTAATTAAGCTGGGGAGTGCCTAAATGCTGTTTTATTGATGATCTTGAAATGTACGAAACAGTGGCGGTTAGCTCTAGTTCTACAGCATCCATTATTACAGAAGAGAAAGTTCTAGGAAGTGATGAAATGAGTTCTGAACAGAACTTCTTAATTATATAGGTAAGATTTTTTCCATCATGTAATATTATGTTTAGTTTATATTTTGAAGAGGAAGAAAAACTTTTTAAAGACAACAAAATCATTAGGCTAGTTGTTGTTTTCTGCAGACTTGACGCTTCACAGGCGCTTGTTTCATACAGAGACGTCTGTTTCATACCTGGACGTGGAAGTTCATGTAAATACACATGGAGCCTATATAGTATATATGCCTTTTTAAACATGAACATACTACAGATTTTCAGTAACTTCTAGTGCCCATGGTTTCACAGTATATTACAGCTGCATTACACACGTTTATGTCGGCAGGCGGTAAAACTAGTTTTGCAGACTCCCGACTCTCTCTGAATAATGTATTTCGATAACAGATTCGGTTCAACAAAATATCAATACTGCATTAAAAATCTTTAAAAGAGAGAAAGAGAGAGAGAGAGAGTTTAACGGCATGAAGAAATGTACATATAAAAGATTAGTCGTCTATAAATTAAATTGTCAAAGTGTTTAAACTAAGAGATTTATAGTGGAACAATTAAACTAAAAGAAGAAAATGAAAAAAAAAAAAAACACAACCCATTTAAGGATAACATAAGCTTTCAAAGCAATGTTTTAATGGACTTATATTGTGAACTTTTATTACTTTGCCCTTGCTATTACAATATTTTAACATTCCAAAATGAACATCATGATACTTAGACTCTTCAAAATTATCGATCTCACCTTTTACCAACACATGTTGAGTAATCTTGAAGAATGTCAGACACCTCAGCCCAACGACACCTTGGCCCATTGACATCTCTGCCCAATGACACCTCGGCCTTGACTGGTCGGCCCAAAATTTAAGACACCTCGGCCCATACATAAGACATCTCGGCCCAAGCAAACTTTTATTAGGAAGTATTATATATTTCCAATCTGCAACTTCAATAAAATTTTGACCGAAAAAAGTAAACGATCAAGGTTATTTTTAGTAATAAAAAGACCTTCCACAAGCTGCATGATTGACGATAATCAAGGAATAAAAAGACAATTATAATTTAAAAGTGCTAACCGATAAACAAATAAGATGCCGCGACACATTCTTTGGAGTCTCCAGTGCTTGTCATATTGGCGACAATGAGGGAATAATTACGAGCAGGGTTAATTGTGAGACAGTCATTCAGAACATTTACATCCATTTATTTCTGAAGAATTCCACTTGCATTAAAACCCAGATTTTTTAAAATTTTATTTTTAGCTATCTGTATCAAACATTGAATATGATGAAACATACGATGAAGTTCAGATCAATAATGCAATTATTTTACGTACTTAAACCATTTTTTTATACGATTATTTATACTGACATAAGTATAAACAAAAATCAGATGTTTCAGATCGTCAGAGAAATAATGCAAAATGTTAAGATAGAATATTGATATATATATTATAGTTCCACTTAAGTGTATATATTGGGGATTTTTCACAAGAGATAGATGTTAGTTAAGGACGTGCTGATCTGATTTCCTTAGGGAAGTTCACCAATTTTCTATTATAGACCCCCCCTTTGAATTTTTTTTAAAATCGTTTGTCCGTCAGAAAGAATAATTACATCGATAATAATAACAATTTAGACACTGGATTAATTTTTTCTATCATAAAATTTCGCTTGGGCCGAGCTGTCTTTTATATGGGCCGACTTGTCAATAATCTTGGGCCGACCTGTCAGGGCGCCGAGGTGTCAGACGTCACAGGCCGAGGTGTCGTTGGGCTGAGATGTCTGTCTACCATCTTGAATGAAAAATCTTTGAACACCTTTAACTTGTAATCATGATCATTTTTAAAATTAATTTTAAATTTTTTCCTCTCTTGTCTCGACACTACATCACTTGTGATGCAGACATTACAAATCTTAAAGGGGTTGCTAATCTAATTTCAAAAAGAAAACATTATGGAAAGTGCTTTCTGTAATATAAATTATTTCTAATATTGAAATGTAAACACAACACTTCTGCCGTATTGCCGGATATTAATTCTCACCTGTCAGATAAAGAAATACATTGTATAGCCGGCAGTCACATTCATGTTTAACTTTAAACCAATGAAAGTGTGACATTTCAATCCAAGGGAAAATAAATTGTAATAGCAAGGCACTGAAGTTTGTGATATATATATCCAATATATACATTTTATTATCTGCAGTTACACCTTTTATCATTCTTGGTTGAGAAAGCAGCATAATTATGGTTCATAAGTCATTTTAATAAATGCAAAAGTTACTGTTCTTTGTTTGACTAAGAGTCTACAGCCAAGTTGTTTTGAAAGGTCTGGTAGATGGTGAAACTGTATTCTTCTCCAATATCAGAAGATAAAAACTGTCCTCCAAAAAATGGAGGCCACCTAGACCTGTTAAGCCTATTGATACTTTTTCGAAACATTTATGTTTTGTATTATAATCCCCTGTTTGTTGTTATGCTTTAGTGACATCACAACAAGCGCAAGGACAGTATGGCCCAGTACAAAGTTCCAGATCCTGACAAAGATGAAGTTTGTCCTTATGACAAATCACATGTCTTTCCAGCCAAAAGGATGCAGTATCATCTCATGAAGTGCAGAAAGGTCAGTTTACACGCTTCAGTAATAGCACTACAGAAACCTCTTTCTTGATTCTGTCATACTCCAGTAAACTCTCATGCTCAAGAAAATAAAATTATTATCAACATTGAACATTTTTTTTTTTTTTACATGAAATATATGGATAAACACACATCTATATATTTCAAAGTACACGTAATTATACCCCCCCCCCCAAAAAAAAAAACAAAAAACAAAAAACAAAAACAAAATTTAAAAAAAACTGAAAATGGCTTGCTGTATTGTCTAACAACAAACCAGAGTCAGTTAAGATGAGATTCTGTCCTGACTCTGCTTGACTGACCAATAGGAAGTACTTTTACACTTATGAATATACTCTCTTGCAGAACCACAAAGGAAGTGTATTTGCCACCTGTCCTTTCAATGCAAGACACGAGATGCCTAAACCAGAGCTGCGCTTCCATCTAGAAAATTGTCCAGACAAGGCAGTGATTGAACCGATGCTAGCTCATGGTAAAACAACTATGTAATGTCATATATAAAAATATATTTGTTAAAAGAAATTCAAAAGGAATTGTCAGGAAGGTCTTGTGTTAGTTAGTCAGTTAGTTTTCAAACACAGGGACATATGCGAACATTCTCCACATGTGAAGATGGAATAAAGATATTTCACTTGCATATTTATAAGTTTATAATATTCTTTGGCATAACCAAATATGGTTCTTGAGGCCTGATAGAGAGGAACACAAATAGTAGGTCACAATGACCTACTTTCTGTAATGTACAGTTTATCATTTAAAAAAAAAAATACCGAGATATTTCAGATGCTAAGAATCATCAGACCTTTTCAGTTGGTACATCTTAGTGCCTTAAAGCACAGCGATTTGCATATTCAGAAGTAGGTTATAGTTACACTGTTATGCAACTGATTCTAGGTCCTTGGGCCTCTTATTATGTTCCCCAAACGAAGTTTGGGAACATATTGTTTTTACTCTGTTTCTTATTATTAAGGTCTTCCGTCTTCACGGAAGACCTTATAGTGATTCTACTGTTTCTTATTATTATTATTCTTATTATTATTATTATTATTTTTTTGACCAAATTTTGTGCAGGCGTTTTCTCGAAAACTATTCATTGGTTCTCCGTGAAACTTTCAGAAAAAATTGGTCATTGTATGAACTTGTTTCATCACAAGAAAAATTTGGAAAATTCCATTTTGGTTCCAAGTTACGGGCAATTTCCTGATTTTAAAATGAGATTTTGTCGCCCCTTTTTTTCAAGAATGGCTAAAGATATGAACTGGAGACTTATTGGAGAGCATAGAACGTGACTTCCAAATTTGCAGAATCGCATTTTCGTTCGTCGTCGGCACTTCCGGTCGTTTACGGAAGTGATCAAAGATATCGTAAAATTTCAACTTTCTTTTTTTAAATCAATACTTACATCACATTATTGCACCTCTTTTGTAGTTTCGAAATATGTTGGTCCCACCGGAAACAAAAACGTCAACTTCCGGTTATAAGAGAAAAACTACATAATTTGAGTATTTTTCTTTCCCATTAATATCCTTTGTAGATAAAGTATTTGAAATGAATTTTAAATATGTTATTTAGACTGCAAATATCTAGAGTAATGTCAAATATCTTTGAAAAATTCACTTCCGGTCGCGTGATTTCCTGTCCTCAAAATGAAAAGTTGTCTGAGCAAGATCTCAGAAACGGTGAGAGATTAAGACACCAAACTTATATGAGCAACAGAGCTTAAGATATAGGCAAAAACATTTGGGTTCAGAGCGTCAGCCGTCACTTCCGACCTTCACAGGAAGTGATCAAAGAAATCGAAAGTTTAACTTTTTTTTTTAAATTAAAAATTGCATCACTTTATTGCATCTTTTTCGCAGATTCGAAAGATGTTGGTCCCACCGGAAACAAAAACGACAACTTCCGGTTATAAGAGAAGAACTACATAATTTGAGTATTTTACTTTTCCATCAATATTTTTTTTCTAGATAAAGTATTTGAAATGAATTTTAAATATGTCATTCAGACTGCAAATGTCTAGAGTAACCTCAAATATCTTTCAAAAATTCACTTCCGCTCGCGTGTTTTCCTGTCCTCAAAATGAGTTGTCTGAGCGAGATCTCAAAAACATGTGAAAGATTAAAACACCAAACTTTTATGAGTGATAGACCTTGAGGAGTAAGCGAAACCATTTGGGTTAAACGCGTCAGTCGTCACTCCGCTTGTCACGGGAAGTGATCAAAGAAATCAAAATTTTATCTTTTCTTTTTTAAATCAAAACTTGCATCACATTATTTCATCTCTTTCGCTGTTTTGAAATATGTTAGATTCCACCGGAAACAAAAACATCAACTTCCGGTTTTATGAGATAAACTACGTTATTTTTATATATAACTTTCTCATAAATATTGATTATCGATAAAGTACTTGAAATGATTTGATATACATTGTAAATACTGCAGATATCCAGAGAAAAGTCAGAGACTTTTTTAAATTCACTTTCGGTCGCGTGTTTTGCTGTCCTCAAAATTAGAATTTGTTCTCACAATATTGCTCGGCAACAGTAAACAACTGAAGTCTAAAACTTTCAGGACTGATAGTCAGTCATCAATTTATTTGAATCGTGAGAAAATCTTGTATCGCTGTTTCTTCGGGTTGTGACGGGAAGTGGTGCAAAAAAGTGACTCGTTAATGGTTAGCACGTTGGATTTTCACGCTGACGACCAGGGTTAATTCTCTAGAGTGTCTGAATTTCTTTTATCACTTTTTCAGCTTGAATTTCCGTTTTTATTTTCAGAATCTAACGGAAGACCTCTCATTGCTCGCAATGAGTTTCTAGTTAAGGTCTTCCGACTTCAGCGGAAGACCTTACTGTTATTCTTAGGTTTCTTTTCCACTATTTTTATTATTGTTTATTTTTCCTACCGATTTTGTGCACGCGAGTTCTCGGAAACGGCTCGCCCGATTTTCATGAAACTTTCAGGTCTGATAGAGAATTAAAAATTCTAGATATATATTTTTTTATTTTGATGACGTCACTTCCGGTCCGGAGATTTTCGAGATTTGGTGATTTTAGAGGGTTAGTTTGTCCGGGCATTTTCAAGAAAAGCACTTAACACAGGAACGTGAGATTTTCAGTGATGATAGAGTAACATATGTAGATTTGTACTTGGAAGTTCATTTTTACCCGAAATACCAAACATCAACGTCCGCTACTGCCCAAATTTTTATCTTCTTTTTCCTACTTGTTAACTTTGATGCCTCATATCTTGCTTATTTCTCAAGGGATTTTAATAAAAATTTCAGAGTTTATAGACGTTACAAAACTCTATCAGAATAATATAATATTTTTCCAAAATCCACTTCCGCTTTCGAGTTATTTCCCTTTAAGTGAAAATTTAGGGTCTTTAATTTCCAGACAAATATTCCGAGACTACGAAAGTTGGAACATAAATACTACTGAATATAGGAAACAGAAGCAATGAAGTTGTGAACATTGGTTTTTGTTTTTTGATTTCTGCCTTCAAACTGCCGCTAGATAGGGGTCAAAAATTAGGACGCATGAAAGAGCAAAAATTGACACATGTTTTCCTTTGTATCTTTTAAATAAGAAATATTTTATTAAGACATGTAAAATAAATGTTGTGTACAATTTAATTACCTTTTATTTGATACCACTAAAAAGGAGCTGGCCCCTTAAATTAGGGATCTAGGGCCCTTGAAAGTTTTTGCTTTATAACTCAAAAAACGAGAAAATATTTCGATATGGCTGTCGATAAAAAGTTGTCCCTTTATACCTTCTTTGTCTCATGAAAATATTATTTTGTTCGAGTCTTGTGTATGGTAGGGAAAAAAAGCTAGACCCGTAAACAAGGACCCGTTTTCATTTGGCTAGTGAAGAAGAACTCTGTATGCGTATAACTGAAATAAACTTGCCATAAATAATATATCTTTCAACGCTGTATCCTAATTTTTTTAAATTAGGCTTTAAACGTGCTCTTTGGTTCCTGTTCAGATTATTCGGTGACAACTTTCTCTCTTTATTGTGTTTTAAAATAAAGAACCTTCCAAGAGAGAAAGAGAGAGAAACAGAAAAAAGTACAAGTATCTTTTCTTTGTTCAAATATGAAAGCAAACAGTATAAACGCCAAAAAAAATTTAAAGAGTCAAATAATTCACAATCATTAACTGCGTGATTCTTACATTCATCTGAACCCCAGATTCTATTCTGTTTACCGTTACGTAACCCATCCCTCGATCACGCGCGGCCGAGAAGATCTAAAGCAATCCACCGCGTGTGAAGCATTGACCCACAGTCGTAAACAAAATAAAAATCGGCGTATTAAGTCTATTTTGTAAACACGACAATTAATGGACAATTATTAATATCGAATATTTGAGATTATGTTGGTTTATCTTTGTTTTAAATTTGATCATGATACATGTAGCCTTAATCCAAAACGTCTAGCCAGGTTTTTGTGTTTGTTTACAATTACGCAACCATTACATGTAACCATTCCTTCGATCGTTATCTCCATATTTCGATTGTTTTAACGTTACCAACAATTTATTTCCCATCTGCGGTTACTTTAATATAACCATTAAACACACAAGCTTTGCGCTTTCTCTGCGTTTTGAAACAGTAAATGTTTTCAACACAAATGTTTCCAGTCATTTTTTTTTCATCACAGGTTTTTATCATGATTATACCAACTTCAAACTTTTAAAGAGAATCTTCCTAATCATAAGGGTGACCAGTCTTACTTTAAAAATGATTCGTTATTTTGAAAAGTAAACAATGAAATGAATTAAATATTGATAGGTAACTCCGTCACGTGGCCAAGGTCTGAACTTCATAAGCGACTTCTGTGTTGCACTATGCCTATTTATATTACAGGGTTGATAGTAAAGTTTCACAAAAATACCTTAAGAAAAAAAGCAATGAATTTTGTTTTTATAATTAATTCAAAACCCGTAAATTATCTTTTTTAAGTATAGTATGCTAACATCATAATTTTGTTGTGGGATAAAATATCGGTAGCGGGCTATACATGTAGATAACAATAAACCTATATAGTATGTCCAGAACTGTAAACTTCAGAATGCATATAACATATTTTTTAAAGTATCAATTGGGACGGAAAAGGTACACACCGGGAAAATTTTAGTATCACTTGAATACCCCGGTATCTAACTGCAGAACTGTACATGTAGCTTTCCGAAAAAAAAATAATTTATTGACGGACCGGAGTCTCTGGTCATCCATCCCATTTTTTTTTTTTAGACCAGTGAACTTCAGCAACTGAATATCACAAATATATCATTCTTAATACACTTTGACAACTTTATTTCAATTATTAAAATCATAATCGGCAGCCTTTGTATCATAAACTATTAAACTATTTGTATCGTTTACCGTATAGAATTGAGTATTTTCTTTCAAATAATTGACTTGTAACTTACGTACATTACTTTTCTGGGTTAGTTTTAAAACATACGATCGAGAGAGAGAGAGAGAGAGAGACTCATTTGCTCATGTACATATATACCAGGTAGTTCCTGTATGAAATATAGTCCAATTTTCTTAATTTTATTTACAATATCAATCATAATCTCTCTATTCTGTAAATCTATTTGTTGATTATTTTCAACTTCAATCACAATATGTAGTACTAAAATGAAGTCCATGCACGGGTGCTTTTGTACACCTGGAAATATTTTTGATTTAATCCTTCGTCCATGCCTTCCTCCTTCACGGAAAAAAGATTAATTAATAAATTAACCGAACGAGGTTGAAAAAATGCCGGACTATTTTTTTTCTCAAATTAACTGGATTGAATATACTTTTTTCATTTTACTGTACACGTGTCCGGAATAAAACTGTGTGGTTTGGGTTTGTCAAAATGTTTTTAGACCAAGATAAGTCAGTCGCAACTTCTCGGGCCTTTCCAACTAACGGAAAAAACTTCGAAAGTATTACGTAGACCCCCCCCCCCCCTTTCCCAAACTTTGAAATAAATGACTAAAAAAGATCTTCCTTCTATGAAGGAAGATATTTTATCTGTTGAGTATTGAGTTTAATTTTATGGATGTAAAGAACTCCGTCTATCCTTAATAAATAGGAAGCGACTCCATCTTGTATAAAATTTTAACATCCGGTAATGTTATAGTCTTGTCCCATGATCCCTTGCACTTCGTTATTGGGGACCCCAATAACGAAGTGCAAGGGATCATGGGACAAGACTAGTAATGTTAAAACATTCGGGGTTGTATTTCCGACCTCTGACGGAAACGCCCGAGATGATGCGATTGCGGAATCAGGATTTTTAAACATCTTCATTGGACAGTTTCGCTTATTTTGCACTACGGGGTTTTTGAAAAAAAAATGTGTTGATCGACATCCGAATAAAATGGTAATTAAATAGAGTGCCAAATATATCATTGGCGAAAATTTGTTTTATAAAAAGTGTTTCTTACAAATAGAGATTTATATATGTACATGTAGATAACCCTATTTATAAAATTTATTGGTTTTGTCTATAGCAGATGTTAATTTAGTTCTTAGCTGACATTAACTTACGTGTATAAATAAATATAAAAGCCAATTGTATGTATGTATGTATGTTGTTTAACGTCCCTCTCGAGAATTTTTCACTCATATGGAGACGCCACCACTTGCCAGTGGAAAGCTGCAAATTTTATCCTATACTCGGCACTTACGGCCATTGAGCAGTGAGGGATCTTTTTCGTGCCAGCACCTACTGCGACACGGGACCTCGGTTTATACGGTCTCATCCAAAGGACCGGTCTCCATGTCCCACAGTGGGATTCGAACCCGCGACTTAAGGATCAACTCCTTACTTCGCGACTCTAGAGCAGACGCTCTAACCACTGCGCCACGTGGGCGACCCATGTAATTGTAACCAAATATTACGAAGCAATCATTCATATTTATAGGACCGATAGTTGATTAAATTTCCTCTCATCAGTAAACGTATATCCCCCCCCCCCCCCCGGAAATAGATAAAATGCTTCCCTTCAGAGGCGAAGTTTTCAATCATTTTTTTTGGGGGGGGGGGGGTGCGTCAAAACGTCGATCGTAAAAAAATTGACTATATAAAATAATTTCAAATTTTAATCAGTACCCTATCTCTCAGGGCCCGTCTGTCCCTCCAAGTTTGCCCAGGCTATGACTTTTTGGATTAACTGGAAGCTCATACATGGTACAAAGATTGCCAATGATCCTAGGGTGTGTCATGGTCTTGATCCAAGGTCATTCCAGCAAATTCAAGGTCAGTGGAGAAAGAATAAATGTTTTGTCCGAGCCATTTATTTGTAATTGAGAATCACTGGAAGCTCATTCTTGATACAGAGATTGCTTGTGACAAAAAGGTTTGCTTCGACTTTGACAAAGAAAATTGTATTATTACGGTCTAGGCTGTAATTTTTTATGTTCGCACTTGGTACAAAGATTGCTTATGGTCCGCCGGTTTTAGATGACTTAAAATAAGGTTATTTCAGCAAATTCAGGGTCACTGGCAGAAAAAGTTGTAAAATGCCTGTCTGGGATATGAATTTCTAAGGGGGAATCACTAGAACCTCTTTCTTAAAACAGAGGTTGTTTGAGATTGAGGGTTTGTCTTGACACCGACCCAAGGTTATTCCGTCAAGTTCAAGGATACTGACAGAAAAAAATTAATTTCTATTTCATGGTATGATTTAGTAATAGAAAATCACTGGAAGCTCTTACTTGAAACAGAGATTCCTTATGAACGGAGGCGGTGTCATGACCTTGATCAAAGGTCTTTCTGGCAAGTTCAAGGTCACTTGCAGAGAAATAAAAAAACATGTCCAGGCATAATTTTATTATTGTTTTTTTCCTACCGATTTTGTGCACGCGAGTTCTCGGAAACGGGTTGTTTGATTTTCAGGAAACTTTCAGGTCTGGTAGAAAATAAAAAAAATCTTAGACATTTTTTTTATTTTAATGACCTCACTTCCGGTTCGGAGATTTCTGCGATTAGCAGATTTTTAGAGGGTCACTTTGTAAGTTCGTTTTCTAAAAAAACACTTAAAATAGGAACTTGATATTTTCAACAATGATAGAGCAATGTTCATAAATATGTACTAGGTAGTTCATTTTTTCCAGACGTGTCGCACTTTGACGCTTGGTATGCTCCAAAAATAGTCTTATTGAGAATATAAAAGTTTTTAGCATTTTTTCAAGAATATCTCTTTACTTGTAAATATTTTGTTAAAAGATATAGAACAAAAGTTGTGCAGAATGGCAAGATCTCTCATTTGATATCAAAGGGATCTACAGGGGCTGAAAGTGTTTTCTCAATATCTCCAAAACTATTGAGAATTTGTGATACATCGAAGAAGCAAATTAAAATGACAAGTAGAAGTGAATAAGATTGCCGAAAGTCGTCAAATAACGTCACTTCCGGCCAAAACGGAAGTAGTCAAAAAATGCATATTTTTGCCGTTTTCGACATGTTATTAGTTAATTTATGTAATCAGAAGCGTCCAACCAAATTTATCATCCCTCAACATCACTTCCGGTCAAACCGGAAGTAGCCAGAAATAGCTTATTTTGCAGGTTTTGATGCAAAAATTGTAATTTTAAAGTCACTGGAGACGTCTAAACTCATTCCTTTCTCTTGTTGACGTCACTTCCGGTCAAAACAGGACGGAAGACCTACTCGTTGCTTTGCAACGAGCTTTGCTCTAGTTATTATTATTATTATTATTCTTTTTTTCTACTTTCTTCTTCGGTACTTTTTTGTCCAGGAGTGTTCTCATAGAACCACTCATCCGATTGACATGAAACCTTTTTAGGGTTAATAGGCATGTTGTGTAGGTGTTCGGAACGAAGGTCATTTTGCGCGCACATGCATGCACGTGCGCGCGCGTGCAATGAGTGAAATGACTGATATACTTGATGAAGCCGTAACTTTTATATTTCTTGATGAATTGCTTTGAAACTCAAAATATAAAGATATATTAGTAGTCTAGACAAGATAACATGGTCAAATTAGCTTGAACTCACGCACATGTACGTGCGCTCTTCTCTGATTGGCTGATACAAAAATCTCAATAATTTCCCTGTTTTTTGACAAAACACTTTGAAATTTAGAATATAAGTATATATTATAAAGTGCTACAACATGTTATATAGGAAATTTCTTGAAAACACGCGCATGCAAGTGTGCTGCAATCTGATTGGTTGAAACTTCAAATGTCTATAACTCCCTTGGTTTTCAACAAAACAGGTTGAAATTTACGACATGGATAGGCACATAGAGCTCCTACATTATGATACTATCAAAATTGAATGCAAGGCCATGCATGCGCGTATGCTGAATTCTGATTGGCTAATACTTAAAGGGTTACATCTCTTATTTTTCAATGAGATTCTTTAATATTTAACACAAATGTATGTATTATGAGACACTATAAGAAAATTAATGTGAAAAATGTAGAAAACATGTGCAAGCACATGCGCTGAAATTTAATTGGCTAATGCTCATATGGCTATATCGGAGTAGTTTTCCAATGAAATACCTTAAAAATAAAGTGTCCATCTATATTACAAAAGTATTGTCTAATTTATTGAAGCTTGTAGGGAATTGAACATCATAAGGGATTGGGGAGCCGTTTGGGGAACATCTGTAACGGTTCCCGTTACAATTAGCACTAGTTTTTATTTAAATTGCACTTTGACATTACTGTTGTGTTTGAAAACTAACTGAACATAAAATTGTCATTTGCAAATAAATGTCCCATTAGAGAAAATGTTGAACATTGTCCATTGTTTTGACAGAGAGTAGTAAGAGGAATGGAGAAGATGCGTCCATGTTTAGAGGATGTACAGATCTACCTGTGTATGATAATGTTGTAATTAACAGCGAGGAAAACTGGGATGATGGTATATCTACACATCTACCTCCAGCAAAAATTTCTGTTTCAAAAAAAAACTTGAAATAAAAAGCAGTTGTTAGTACTTCGAAATTATGGCCCTAATAGTTGTCAGTCCAGTTTGTTTTGAGTTGACATTGGATACGGTACATTCAATTTGTAAAAGCAAATTGTCATGTAATTTAAACTCATGTCTCATATGCTAGAAGTTCACAGTTGCAAATTGCAATAGGGGTCCAAAGTTTTTAAAAGAATATACTGAAAAAAGACAAGGCTTATGATAAAATAAATTTTTATACTGATATCTTTTCTTTTAGATATAAGATGTTTAAAATGTTCTCTTTGGTCTAATGTTAGGTATCTTCAATTTTAAAAATGATGAGATTTATAATTTCTTGAGATATTGCAGCATAGTTGTTTTTACAATTATTATGCACAATAAATTGTGTTTTACAGAGATTCCCTCTGTGGCCAGGATTGGGGTGGACCCCCAGTTCTTTGCTCGTCAAGACCATATGATTATCCCAGGGTAATATATTCTTTACTTAAAAATATAAATTTGTATTTGTGTATGTAGAGGTGTGTTTATTTATTGTTGTTTATGGATATTTTAGACTGACAAAATCAGAGAAGAAAGAGTTTTCAAAACAAATGTACCTTCCTGCAGAAGATAGAAGGTATATGGCATTAATTGTTAATGGAAACCAATTGTCCTCAATTACTGTCTCACAAAATTTAGAAATGGCATCATCAATGTTCATCAAAATATAATTGATATTATGTGATTTCAGACATTTACTTACAGAAATTAATGATGTGAATTTTGTTTTTGTCTTAAGCTTTCTTATGACATTTGTTCTTTATAGAATTAAAAGGGTTCCTATACATATTCAGTTCTTGATACTTTGAATTTGAATCACTCAGACAACCATTTCAAATTGCAGTTGATATGATTTTAAAACAAGAAGCTTTTTGCAATAAATCAATATCGAGAAATATATAAAATAATGTAGCATTTCAGTAAGCCTCAGCTTTTTTTTTTCAGTTTCTAAAACACATACATGTAAATTAGTACCCTTTGTCTTTGAAATTAGTACCCTTTGTCTTTGAATATGGAGTAAATAAAAATGACCAGTATAAAATATTGTTATAAATTTAATTAATTCACTTTATAACAGGTACTTGTCACATAACACAGAAACAGAACAGCCATTAAAGGATGAGCAGTCGAAGCTGCGTCTCCCTAAAACGGCAGCCCAGACTTATCTATCCAATCAGAATAAGTCGTTTCAGCAGCCATCAGCAGTGTTTGCATATTCGTTATCTATGACAGGTGTTGGTAGAGGACTACCAGGTAACAGACTGAGATGGTTCATATAAATTAGAAAAAAAAAAATTTTCATGGTCAGAGAGTTGTAAATGCTAGTTAATTAGTTAATTAAGTTGTATGTTTTACATTCATTTCTTTACAGATAATGGTATGAGTAGAGAAGAGAATAAAAGGCCAGATCGAAGCAGGGGGAGGGGCCGTGGCTCCATCAAAGCAATGTGCAGGGGAACCACTATTGCTGAAACAAATGGAAATATGCCCTTTGGAAGGGGGTTTAACCACAATAATAGTGGTCCATTTTCGACTGTCCAGACAGGAACCCCAGCAGCTGTAGGTCTTGAGGGCCTGAAGACCACCCCCGAGTTTAGTGTGGGAGTTGGTCGAGGAAACAGAGCATCTTATGGTTAGTATGTTCTGTACGACCAAATAAACTGATTATTCATATCATGAATGTGTTGCTTGAAAAGTATATGATGTTGTTGCATTTTCAATTGTTTCATGTATTGCAATTTGAGTTCATGATACAGGTACATGTTATAGAAATGTTAGTTTTTATAAAATTTTAAATTACAGTAAAATCAAATATTTTCAAGAGATCCACTTTTCAAGGTTTGAGGAAAAAATGTCTGTCTGTGGGGATTTGATTTCATGGTTGACGAATTGTTGATTTGTTAAACATTTGAAATTTTGCATTTCGTGGAGGACATGAATTCATGGGTTACAAATTCAAACCCTATGAAAATTAGTGATTTCACAGTATATACAAGCAAATATTTTGTATTTAAAACAAGATTTCATTTCTCCTGAATTGTTTTGGAAACATCAGAGAAGAGGAAGTTAATACTGAACTCTTGATAATTTCAGGAATGTCATCCCCAGTCTCCTCTGTGATTGCTGCAATGCCTCAACAAAACAAAAACGGTAAGACATTGTACATTTACTTATTTTTAAGAAGACATTTTAATGAATGTGGATTGCTGAAGCAAACAGTAAGTACATGTAGTGAAATAGTTATCTAAATCACCTTTTAAAACTACAGCAGAAGAAGACTTGGAATCAAATGACAGTGTGAAGGATGGGGACAAAAAGCTGAAGAGAATCGAGAAGAAGCTGAGGCAGATTCAGCTGCTGGAAGATAAGATGGAGAAGGGGTACACTCTGACAAAGGAGGAGGTATCAAAAGTGTTGGCTCTTTAATAGTGGCAGATAGTTTTTCTGAATTACTCAGCCTCTTTAATAGCCAAGTCAATTTTTATCACCATTCAAGTTTTCAATGTTATAGGATCTGTCATGAATTTTATCTTTCACGTATCCTGGCATCCATTGTCCTCTGTGTTGGAATCACACCTTATGTCCTTGTTTCAAATATGGAAGATCTTTCTGTCCACTGTTAGAATAGTACTTTTGTTGATTCTGTGAGTTTCTTCTCTTTTCATAAGTTTTTTCTGCTGGAATAACTTTAGGTCTGAGCTGTTCTTTGGTGATAGGTAGAATAGATCTAAGTTGTCTACTCATCAGTAGTTGAACTGGGGAGTCAACATCTGTTGGAGTATTGCAATATTCCAATAGACTGATGTATGGATCCTTTCCATCAATTCTGGCTTTTTCCAACATACGTTTTACTGTCTGGGCAGTTTTTTCAGCGAGTCCATTTCCTTGTGGATTGTAAGGACTTGAAGTAGTATGTTTGAATGACCATTTCTTGGCAAAATCCTTGAAATCTCTGGATATGTACTGCGGTCCATTATCACTTCTCACTTCAAATGGGATACCATGGCAAGCAAATGCTGACTTCATGTGCATGATGATAGTTTTGCTTCTGGTGTTTTCAAGTTTGGCTAATTCGAAGAATTTGGAGTAATAATCTACAATCACCAAATAATCTTCATTGTTCAGTGTAAATAAATCAGATCCTACTAGTTGCCACAGACCATTTGGGATAGGTGTTGGTCGCAATGGTTTCTTTGGATCTTTGGATTCTTTTTCCTAAAGTCCATGCAGGTGTTACATTTGGATATCTTCTCTGCAATGTCTGTGTTCATTCTAATCCAATAAACTACAGTTCTTGTACGAGCCTTCGTTTTCTCAATGCCGAAATGTCCTACATGTAAGTATCTAAGAATTTCTGTTTGTAGAACTTCTGTTAGGCCAAATAAAAAAATATGTGTGGTTCCGGTTACACCTCCAAACAAATTAGGGTAGGTAGTTAGGTTTTTTAGCTCACCTGAGCTGAAAGCTCAAGTGAGCTTTTCTGATCACCCGTTGTCTGTCGTCCGTCCGTCTGTCCGTCCGTCTGTAAACTTTTCACATTTTTGACTTCTTCTCAAGAACCACTGGGCCAATTTTAACCAAACTTGGTACAAAGTAACCTTATGTTAAGGGGAGTTTAAATTGTAAAAATGAAGGGCCAGGTCACCTTCAAAGGGGAGATAATCAAGAAAATACAAAAATTGGGTGGGGTCATTAAAAAATCTTCTTCTCAAGAACCACTGGGCCAGAAAAGCTGAAACTTATGTGGAAGCATGCTGGGGTAGTGTAGATTCTAAATTGTTCAAATCATGACCCCCGGGGGTAGGGCGGGGCCACAATAGGGAATCCAAGTTTTACATTGAAATATATAGGAAAAATCTTTAAAAATCTTCTTCTCAAGAACCACTGGGCCAGAAAAGCTGAAACTTATGTGGAAGCATGCTGGGGTAGTGTAGATTCTAAATTGTTCAAAACATGACCCCAGGGGTAGGGCGGGGCCACAATAGGGAATTCAAGTTTTACATTGAAATATATAGGAAAAATCTTTAAAAATCTTCTTCTCAAGAACCACTGGGCCAGAAAAGCTGAAACTTATGTGGAAGCATGCTGGGGTAGTGTAGATTCTAAATTGTTCAAATCATGACCCCCGGGGGTAGGGCGGGGCCACAATAGGGAATCCAATTTTTACATTGAAATATATAGTAAAAATCTTTAAAAATCTTCTTCTCAAGAACCACTGGACCTGAAAAGCTGAAACTTATGTGGAAGCATGCTGGGGTAGTGTAGATTCTAAATTGTTCAAATCATGACCCCCGGGGGTAGGGCGGGGCCACAATAGGGAATCCAAGTTTTACATTGAAATATGTAGGAAAAATCTTTAAAAATCTTCTTCTCAAGAACCACTGGGCCAGAAAAGCTGAAACTTATGTGGAAGCATGCTGGGGAAGTGTAGATTCTAAATTGTTCAAATCATGACCCCCAGGGGTAGGGCGGGGCCACAATAGGGAATCCAATTTTTACATTGAAATATATAGGAAAAATCTTTAAAAATCTTCTCAAGAATCACTGGGCCAGATAAGCTGAAACTTACTTGGAAGCATCCTGGGGTAGTGTAGATTCCAATTGTTCAAATCATGACCCTTGGGGATAGGGCGGGGCCACAATAAGTACTACGGGGGGGGGGGGGGGGGGGAATCAGGTGAAAAACAGCAAGGCCAAAGTTACTCAGGTGAGCGCTGTGGCCCATGGGCCTCTTGTTTTTTTTTTTTTTTTTTTTTTTTTTTTCACGTCAAAAATATCATTGAATGTTTTTGAATTAACTATTGGTGATAATTGGTGAGATAATACTATTGCTTTCTTTCAAGTGGTGATATTTGTAACTGACAAAACACTTGTACTGTGTGTTGAAACGATGTTGTCAAAGAAGGCCACCATTACTGAAACTAAAACTAATACCGGAGCCAATGAGGGAAATCGGGGAAAATTCTGGAAATTTGAAAATTGCCAAAAAAAGTTTAGGGTCGGGGTAATAAAATAGGGACGGTCGGGTAACCGGAACCACACATATTTTTTTATTTGGCCTTACATTTTTTCCCAAATGCTGGGCATTATCCTTTTTCATGATGGCTTCCACATTTTCCAAATGTAAAGGATTTTGTGTTGGTAGGTTTATTTGGCACACTTTGTTTTCTAGGTTGATACACATTTCCCTTCATATATTTCTGGGGTGAGGGTTTGTTTCCTGTAGACACTTTAACAGACTGTTTAGATTTTACAGCATCAACATGCTCCTCATGTTGTAGATCTTTTAATCTATTTTGTGACTCTTCATTAGCACGACACATACTTAAAGCTTTTTGATGTGAGTTCATTGTCTCTAAGTAATCTTTCTTCAACTTTCTCTGAATAAACTCCACATACAATTCTGTCTCTTAGCATTTCATCTTCTAATGCACCAAATTTGCAGTTTTTTGAAATTATTTTCAATCTGTGACATACTGGGCAATGGTTTCTATTTTACCTTGAACTCTGGTGTGAAACCTATGTCTCCAAACTGTGATATGTTCCCTAGGGGCACAATATAGTCTTTGAACTTACTGAACAGTGTATCAATTTTGTCAACATCTTCATCTGGTATTATCATTGTGTTGAATATTTCTCTGCCTTCTTGACCAATAATATACAGGAAAGCACTACACTTATCTTTTTCGTTTCTGTCATTCATACATATAAACTATACACTACATATTCTGTGCACCAATGATGTACAATATTTAGTTCACATACTAGTTGCACTGTAATTTAGAACACATACACTGTGCATAACAAGTACACTTACACTGTGCATAATGAGTACACATACACTGTACAGTATTCAGTATACTTACACTGAAAAACGTTTTATACTTTATTGTCCTAGTTATGATCAGTATAGATTACAATATTGCGATATATTTAATGCTCAGTGTTACATGAAGGAAAACCCTATTATTGACATATCAACCCTCCAAGTATTAAAATTGCCAGAAGAGTATGTAACTTTCTGAAAAAGTGCTTTGATATTAGAAAAGAAAAACTTCAACATAACTGATATGCTTACTGGAATAATTTTTTATTGATTTTATGTATGTTATTCTTTGTTGTATTCATGACTGTATGCCAATGTATGATGGTGTTGTCAATAAATAAATTGAAATTGAATTAAGTAAATAATGGGTACACTTACACTGTACATAATGAGTACACATACACTGTACATTATTCAGTACACATACACTGTACAGTTTCAGTACACATACACTGTACAGTATTCAGTATACTTACACTGTACATAATGAATACACATACACTGTACATAATGAGTACACTTACACTGTACATAATGAGTACACATACACTGTACATAATGAGTACACATACACTGTACATTATTCAGTACATATACACTGTACAGTTTTCAGTACACATACACTGTACAGTATTCAATATACTCACACTGTACATAATGAATACACATACACTGTACATAATGGGTACACATACACTGTACGTAATGAGTACACATACACTGTACATAATGAGTACACATACACTGTACATTATTCAGTACATATACACTGTACAGTTTTCAGTACACATACACTGTACAGTATTCAGTATACTCACACTGTACATAAAGAGTACACATACACTGTACATTATTCAGTATACTTACACTGTACATAATGAGTACACATACACTGTACGTAATGGGTACACATACACTGTACGTAATGAGTACACATACACTGTATAGTACATGTATTTAGAACATACAAATGTGCAGAGTACAGTTCCATATAGGAGACCTACATTTGGTACAGTATGCAGTACACATATTATACACTCTAAGGGTTTCGTTCTTCATAAAACTTTCTTATTTTTTAGGCTGCAAAAGTTGGCATGAAGAGAAGTTTGACAGCTGAGAGAGATCAGTTACAACAAGAGAATGAATCAAGAAAAATTTAGAGATTTTTGCAAGTTGATCAAATTTTTTCCAACTAGTGTCAGAGATTTTTTCTTTTTTTTGAGTTTTGTATATAGTTTTCTTCATAATTAACGTGTAAATAGTATTTCATACATTGACATTAAGCACATATGTTTGAATATGTGTGAATATCCTCTTTAATTAAAAAAATTGAAACCAAGATGCTTTTGAAATATTCTTTTAAGGTATAGATCTAACTTTAGTTAGTTGGTGCTAAGACAGGTTAGAAATGGTGAGGTGATGTGGATGTTTAGAATAAACACATATTCAGATGATTTTTAGCTCACCTGAGCCGAAGGCTCAAGTGAGCTTTTCTGATTGAAATTTGTCCGTTGTCTGTCGTCGTTGTCGTTGGTGTTGTCGTAAACTTTTCACATTTTCATCTTCTTCTCCAGAACTACTGGGCCAATTTCAATCAAACTTGGCACAAAGTATCCTTGGGTAAAGGGGATTCAAGTTTGTTCAAATGAAGGGCCACGCCCCCCTCCAAGGGGAGATAATTACGAAAAATCAAAAAATAAATGGCATTATTGAAAAATCTTCTTCTCAAGAACCAAAGGGCCAGGAAAGATGAAACTCATGTGGAATTATTGTCAGGTAGTGTAGACTCAAATTTGTTCAAATCATGACCCCCGGGGGTAGGGTGGGGCCACAATGGACGATCAAAGTTTTACATAGGGATAAATAGGAAAAATCTTCAAAAATCTTCTTCTCAAGAACAGCAAAGCTATGATTGGTCATATTTATATGGAAGCATCCTCAGGTGGAGTAGATTCAAGTTTGTTCAAATCATGATCCCCGGGGGTAGGGTGGGGGCCACAATGGACAATCAAAGTTTTACGTAGCAATATATAGGAAAAATCTTCAAAAATCTTCTTCTCAAGAACAGCAAAGCAATGATGGGTCATATTTAAATGGAAGCATCCTCAGGTAGTTTAGATTCAATTTTGTTCAAGTCATGACCCCCAGGGGTAGGGTGGGGCCACAATGGAAGATCAAAGTTTTACATAGGTGTATTTAGGAAAAATTTTCAAAAATCTTCTTCTCAAGAACAGCAAAGCTATGATTGGTCATATTTATTTGGAAGCATCCTCAGGTGATGTGGGTTCAAGTTTGTTCAAGTCATGAGCCACGGGGGTAGGGTGGGGCCACAATGGAAGATTTAAGTTTTAATTAACATAGGAGTATATAGGAAAAGTCTTCAAAAATCTTCTTCTCAAGAACAGCAAAGCTATGATTGGTAATATTTATATGGAAGCATCTGCAGGTGGTGTAGATTCAAATTTGTTCAAATCATGACCCCCAGGGGTTGGGTGGGGCCACAATGGATGATCAAAGTTTAACATAGGAGAATATATATAGGAAAAATCTTCAAAAATCTTCTTCTCGAGAACAGCAAACTTATGATTGGTCATATTTATTTGGAAGCATCCTCAGGTAGTGTAGATTCAAGTTTGTTCAAATCATGACCCCCGGGGGTAGGGTGGGACCACAATGGACAATCAAAGTTTTATGTAGCAATATATAGGAAAAATCGTTTTCTCAAGAACAGCAAAGCTATGATTGGTCATATTTATATGGAAGCGTCCTTAGGTGGTGTAGATTCAAGTTTGTTCAAATCATGACCTCCAGGGGTAGGGTGGGGCCACAATGAAAGTTCAAACTTGTAGAGAAAAGAAGTCACAGTTAGTCAAAAAATCATGTAAGCATCCTTAGTTAGTGTAGATTTAATTTTGTTCAAATCATACCCCCCCCCCCCTCCCACTCCCTTTTAGGGGTAGGTTGGGACCACTTATGCATTTAAGCTTTTCAATACTAAACAGATTTTCCTAGCCACAGTGCTCAGGTGAGCAATGTGGCCCCTGGGCCTCTTGTTTGTGTGCTACATTAAAGTCTTCAAAATACATGTACGTAAATATATTTCTAGGCCTTTCTTTTTTCATTTTGTATCACAGTAGCACTTTATTTCTGCAGTATGATTCTTCATTAAAATCTCAGCAAGGGAACTTCGCAATGAAAATAGTTATTTATTTGTTACAAATTGTATATTGACACTTGCTAAAAATGTTGGATCCCCAGGATTCCTCAAAGTAGGGGATAACAGCCCCCCAATCCTCTAGTGTCTGTGATGGTTGCAAAATAAAAATATAGCATGTGAAAGAGTAAATATATGTATGTTTAAATTTACATAAGTTCTGAACAAAATATAGATTTGTTTATACATGTATATACATACACATCTGTATGCATACATATACATGTATATATTATTTGGTTTATAGATAGTTTTCATATGACGTATTTTCTCTCTCGTTATTTCCCTTGGCCGCCATCTTAGTGGTCAACCTGGTAATTTTTCCTCTTTGTCTTACAAATCTAAGAGGATGTAGCAGAAATATTTGGGGGAAAATCTTTATAGAATAAAAATAATGAAATAAAGGAGGCTTTAACAAATGTATATTTTTCAGAAAAACAATGCTTCCTACCCCAGTATAAAAAGTTAAAGTTGTATATAATGAAGTAATATTGAAGTAATATGAGCATGTTGCCCCCTAATATGGCGGCCAACGGAAAATAACTCTTGCTAATTTGGGTCTACTGAAAACTATCTATTCCCCCTTTTTATGTTTGTTTTCTGTCATGCAACACATTTCTCTTGCGCATATGTATATTGCATGTTTTTGACCGTTTATAGGTTTTAACAATGTACTTGCTTTTTATCCCTTGAGAGCCCTACATGTATTTTAATTGGTAAATAAAGTCATTGAACTAGATACATGTATAGTTTTGTTGTATAAAATGTTCCAACAGAGTGAGTCAGGGTGCATTTTTTATATTTGCTTAGGGTATGCAATTTTAAAAAAGTTTCCATTGTCTAAAATGCCGAAAAAATTGTGCATGCATAAAGAAGAAACCAGTGTTGCCGTTAGTTTACTGTATGAATTATTACACGAACGACTGTCTTCAGACGTCAAATGACGTAATGAAATTGCGGGAAGCTGAGAATTTGCCCAGTCTTTTTTGAGTAACAGTTTAGAAAAGATGTAATTTGGTCAGTCAGATAAGGTAAGATGAAGTGTAATTAGTGGACGCATAAATTACATGTACGGAGAAAAACGTCTCTCTACTTGGAATCGAGAATCTGTAAGAATGACCTGTCGATTGCCAATTTCATTCAAACACAAGCATTGCCTGTCGAGTAAAACAGGTTGGGTCCAATCGCCCAAATGGGATATAATAGCCTGTTTGGGATATGATATCTTAAACGGGATATAAATTCACAGTGCATAAAATGGAAATTTTCATTTTGGCTATAAATATCATAAATCCGCATCAGAATTCTTAAAAAGGAATAAATTTTGGCATACAAGTTTTTCTGCAACCCTACATTTTGTTAGATTGATCCCCAAGAAGTTTAAAAACTTCCAAGGGATCAATCTCCTAAACAGTGGGCATACAGAAAACCTTGTAAACCAAAAGCTATTCCTTTATAAGTATGTTGATGCGAATTTATGATATCAGGGACCTATATATAGGTCCCTGATGATATTTATAGCCAAAATAAAAAATTTAATTTTTTGCACTGTAAATTTATATCCCATTAGGGATATATTCAAAACAGGCTATTATATCCCATTTGGCAATTGGTCCCAACCTGCAAAAGGGAGTCTGTATCAAGATGGTGGTTATTTGTTCTGTTAACCCTTTAAGGACATATGCAACGTACCTTACCTACTGATAATTTTTCCAGATATTCTTTATTTAAGATTGTAGTGCCATCAGATGTTCGTGGACAAAAAATCAGCATGTATTACCAGGGGTTTTGAAAAGATATCAATTGACGAAAATTCTCGTATAATTCAAAGAAAAATACACAAAAATTACTGATCATATATTCTACATGTTTTGTTTATTAAAACTTGTTTTAGATGAAGTGTACAAAAGCATATATAGACATAAAAATGTAGCACACAATTATTTTAAGTATTGAAACTCTTCAACTCCAGGGAAAAAGACAATAAAGTTCAAACTACGTTGCGTATGTCCTTAACTACCAGGGATTTTGCATTTCTTTGCAAAACCAACTAAAAAAATTCAAATAGAAATTTAGACATTTCCTAGTTACTTTTACATAAAGCAACCTATATATTTTCTGAAAGGTAAAATTCTAAAGTATTTAGTTAAGCAGAGTAGAATGACGTCACAGTAGCCTTAGCAACGAATAAGACCCATAATTTCTGAAAATATGTGTTTTCCCCTTTTTTCTTCCCAGAAATACAAACAAATTTACAAATAATACTTCCATAAAAGAGGATTTAGTGATAGTATTAAAACAAAGCATGCAGTCAATTAGTTTTTAGTTATACTGGTCAATTTATTTGATAGAAAGAGTTTATACAATTACACAATGTCCATTATCTGCAAGTCTTTGGCTTTACAGCTGTCTGAGTGTCGTAAGCAATTTGAAGCTGCAATATAAAGGGAATGGTTATTGGAGGGGGAGCCCTATCCATCTTATTATGGTTTACACAGATAAACGAGTTTCTTACAACTCAATGACGGCATCTCTGTGTGTGTCTGACAAAACACCATTCTCTTCTATTTCTTTATTCAAAGTCGCAGTAGAAATGTCGGAATCTGAATTGCTTCCTGAACTTAGATGTACTTCCATGCTATCCCCCTGTCCCCTCCTCCTGCTTACAAAACAACCGTGGTAACAGAAAGGGAAATAATTCAAACGAAAGTCTGATTTTTTTAAAAAATTCAAAATATCACGATGTATCTTTTATTTTTTTGATTTTCATGTTCATTTGAAAAAAAGAAAAATTTTCGTGTCGTTTCCATGCAATTTGTGCAGGAAACAAAAATCGACAAGAAAATTTAAAACCCACTACTATTCCCCATGATTTCATTATAATTATGGAGGCTTTTGATAATTTTTTTATTGTGACAGTTTCTTCATCTTTTAATC